CCTCTTGGGCTGAAATGTTTCTTTTGAGAAATCAGCTGATGGTCTTATGGGAGCTCCCTTTTATATAACTGTCTTTCTGGCTGCTTTTATAATTCTGTTTTTAATATTTCCTATTTTACTTATGACGAGTTTCGGTGTGGGCCTCTTCGGGTTCATCTTGTTTGGGACTCTGTGTTTCCTGGACTTATATGTCTCTTACTTTTACCAGGTTAAGGGAGTTTTCAGTCATTATTTATTCAAATAGTTTCTCAATCTCTGGCTGTCTCTCTTCTTCTGGGAGCCCTATGATGTGGATGTTGTTACACTTTATATTGTCCCAAAGGTCCCTTAAACAATCCGCATTTTTAAAATTGTGTGTTCTTTTTGCTGCTCTGATTGGGTATTTTCTGCAACCTTGTCTTCCAAATTACTGATTTGTTCCTCTGCTTCATCTAACCTACTGTTTATTCCTTCTAGTATAATCTCCATTTCAGGTATTCTTCATTTCTGACTGTTTCTTTTTTTTTATAGTTTCTATGTTCTTTTTTATGCTTGCTCTTTCTTTTTTGAAGATCTCTCTTTGAGCATCCTTAAGACCATTTTTTTTGAGCTCTATACCTGGTAGATTGCTTGCTTTCATTTCACTTATTAAATAATTCTTTGAGATTTCTCCTGTTTCCTTTGGGGCATGTTTCTTTGCCTCCCCATTTTGGCTACCTTCTGTGTTTGTTTGTGCGTATTAGGTAGATTTGCTGTGTCTCCCAGTCTTGGTAGGGTAGCCTTATGTAGTGGGTGTCCTGTGGGACCCAGTGGTATAGTCTACTTTATTACCTGAGCTGGGTGCTCCAGAAATGTCCTTTGTGTGAGCCTGCTTTTTGTAGTTGATTCTTGATTGCTCTTTGTGACCATGTGTGAGAACAACCCTCAAGCTGGCTGATTGTGAGGATCAACACCGACCCCACTGTACAAGTTGATGTGTTGGTGCTGACCACCCAAAATGGAATTTTCCCCTGCACGGTTTGGTGCTTGCCAAGATCTCCTTTTGGATGTGCCATTTGTGGAGATAATTGGATTCTGCTTTTATGTTGTCTGAAGCTTCACTGGATATGTTTGTTTATGGCGTCTTGGGAGGGACTCAGGTACAGGTCAATATCAGACATTGCCTGTGACTGGCCCTGGGTAACCTGTTTGGAGCTACAAAATTATTCAGTTTGTGGCTGCCTCTGCTGGGCCTGAATGTGTGTGAGAAGGCCAAGGTGCACACCAAGGTCACCTCGTACAAGCACCAAGCACAGGAGCAAGTCAGCGAAAGACCCATGCACCCTGGATTCACCTTTGCCTGCTGGCTACCTGTTCAACTCAGTCACTGAAAGAGCCTCTGGTGGTATGAGTTGCATGAGGTAGGTTCTCAGTGAGTCACCAGGCAGGTGTGAGTGGTATTGACCAGACTGATACAGATTCAAACCTGGTGGCAGTGCTGGGTGTGAGGCCACTCAGCAAAAGTCTCAGGGTAAACCAAGGCTCACTGCCACCCATTAGGTGCCTGCTGAACTTTGTGGTGGGGCAGGGTCTCAGGGAGTCTTCAGAGGGAGGCCAGCCAAGTTTTATCGGACCCAAACAAATCACAACTTGGCAGTGTGAGGGGAGGGCATGTGGGGAGTGGGATGGTAATGCCCCCCCCAGAGCCACAGAACTCAGTATGTCCTATATTCTGCTTGGACCTCCTGGAGAGCCCAATATTGGCAAGGTGAGGCCATCAGGAGCGGGGAGGTTGTGTCTAGTGGATATCCCATGAAGGGGAGGCACCTGTCAGGTTGGGAGAAAGTGGGGGAATGGTCCCTGCCTCCAAGCCACACAACTCAGTCACTGATACCCTCTGAGTCTGCCAGGATCTCTACACCTCAGCGCCAGGCATCTAACTCTTCCACAGGGCATGAGCTCCACAGGGCAGGGCAACATGGAGTTGTGGGGTTGTTCTATTGCATTCTCCCAGGTGTATGTCATATGGAGGGACATGATTGACCCCAGAAAGGCATTGCAGTGTGGGAGGAGGATTTAGCACAGGGACCCTGGAGGCTGTCCCTTGACCTCTCTCCCTGGACTTAAAAACTCCCAGTCTCTCCTCACAGGACTCTAGTCCACACTGCCCTCCTTCTGCTGGAGCCCAGGGTGAGTGGCTGTAAAGAAATTTTGTGTTGAACATTTAAGAGGGCTCCCGAGTTTCTAGAAGATGGCTGTCTCTCCCTGGCTGTCAGAATCACCACTGATTTTCACAGCCAGATGTTATGTGGCTGTCTCATGCTGGATCTCATGCTTTGGGCTGGGGAGTCTGGCTGCCCGTGAGGAGCCTTTGCAGCTGAGATACCCCTCCAGATCCTCAGCCTCTGCATGTGTGTGCTGGGCCAGCCCTTTTCCCATCTCCATCTTTCCTACTAGCCTCAATGTGGCTTCTTCTGTTAATCCTTGATTATAAGATTTATGTTCTGTTAGTGTTCAGTTGGTTTTTCTGGTTGATCTGTATTTTAGTTGTCATTGTAGTTTGGTCCTGGGAGGAGATGAGCGTAACTTCCACCTACTCTACTGCCATCTTAGATCTATTACTGAGCATGTTTTGATTTCACCTTCATTCCTAAAGGATATCAAGGAATATGTAAGCCTGAGGTGACAGTTATTTTCTTTCAGCACTTAAAAAATTTTGTGCCACTTTTTTTTCTAGTCTCTGTGGTTTCAGATATGAAATTTACTGACATTCAGATCACTTCAATAAGTAACATTATGTCAAAATTTATAAGACATACTTCCCATACAGTAACACAGAAATTTGTCTTAAAGCTGTATGGTGGTATAGATTTCTTTCGGTTTTTGTTTGGAGTTCCCTCAGCTTCTTGAACCTGGATGTTTATGTCTTTTTCTGAATTTGGGAACTTCTCAGCCATATTTATTCAAGTACCTCCCCATCCTCTGTTTTATCTCTTTCTGGAACTCCGAGGAAACGAAGAGTAGATCATTTATTGTAGTACCAGAGGTCTTGGAAGCTCTGTTCAACTTTTTTTTTACTCTATTTTCTCTCTGTTGCTCAGATTAGGTAATTTCTATAGTTTTAAGATTCACTAATTCTTCACTCTGTAATCTCTACTCTGCCATTGAACTTACTCAGTGAGCTTTTAAAATTCTGGTTATTTTATAGTTGTAAAATTTTACAGTTTTAAAATTTCCATTTGGCTCTTTTTTAATATTTATTTGCCAAGAAATTCTTTTCATTCATTTGTTCGTTTCAAGTGTATTTGTAATTGCTAATTGAAGCATTTTTTTTATGATAGTGGCTTAAAATCATTTTTGGGTATTTTCATTATTCAGTGTTTATACCTGTCAGTTGTTTTCTCATTCAAGTTGAAATTTCCCTTTTTCTTAGTTTGACAGGTTTTTTTTTTCATTGTAACCTGAACATTTGACCATATGGATCTCTTAATTTATCAGGCCTCCACTGACACTACACTGGTGAAGGAGGAGGTGCACCATCTGATTACTGACAGGTGGGGATGGTAATCCAGAAGTCCTGGCTTCCCCCTAGGCCTCTGCTGACAGGAGGGGGAATAATTTCTGTGGTGCTTGGTTTCTGTCTTTCTAGACTAGCCCTTTCCCTGCCTTTTGGCTAGAGATAACAGGATTTTCTTGAGGCTTTTTGATCTTTTACCATTGGCATTTCTGGCCTGCTGGCTTCCTTAGCACCCATTCCAGGATACAGAGGAGGTCAAAGGAAAACTCGGAACTCATAGCTATGTTTTTCCTCATTACCCAGGATCTCTAGTCAGTCCACCCCCCTTTCCCCACCCTTCAGAATCTTATCTTTGTTTTATATATTGTGTTTGACAATTTCAGTTACACTTTGTGGGGGAGTAAGGAGAAATGTATTTACTCCATCTTATCTGGAACCAGAGTTAGCCCATCTGGAAATTGATTTTTATTAAACTAAATTATAGTGTCATGGTAGCTCTCTTTATGCAAATAACCAGTACTGATAAAATACCAAAGGTTCATAGAAAGGCCTTTATGAAATTAGCTTTTCCTTAATGCTTAATTTGAATCTTTATTGCACTTTTTAAATCATGTTGAAAGTACTTCCTTCCAAAACTCGCATCAGTAGTTACATTGAGGTGATGAATAGTTTCAACACATTAGAAAATAATGTCAGATTTGGCATACATCCAGGATCAGAGGAAAGATCATAAACTGATAGTAGAACTGGTACGAACATACCCAGAGTCAGTCCATTCTCTGCTGTTCCCATACAGTCACACAAACAATGTGTTTTATTTTATTTTATTTTTTTAGATAGAGGGTAAGAGAGGGAGGAAGAGAAGGAAACATCAATGTGTGGTTGCCTCTCGTGTGCCCCCTACTGGGGACCTGGCCCCAAACCTAGGCATACTCCAAAACCAGGAATCAAACCTGCGACCCTTTGCTTCGCAGGCCGGACCTCAATCCACTGAGTCACACCAGCCATGGCAATGTGTTTTAATGAAAGAAGAAGAAAGTTCAGAGGAAGCTGAATCTGTTGCTTATGTAACATTCAATTGTTAGAATTTTTTTGAACATATGAACCAGTACACAAGTGAAGGATGGATAGTTACATGGTTGGTGCCTAAAGCTACAGCTTCAGTCCCAGCTCTTTCCCTGACTCTACGTAATAGGTCTCAGGAAATTCTATTCTCAATAGGGGCCCCACAATAATAGCTGCAGAAAGCATAGTCATACTAACAGAGGTGCCCCTGTCGTTTCCCTGCCTTCATTCTCACCAGACACCTCTTGGATCACATTTATCCCTAGCCTGCCTTCACAAAGTATAAATGATAGATACTGGTTTGGTAATGTATTTCCAGCATTGGATAATGCAACTTAGATAAGGAAGATTTTAAAAGTTCCATATTTAAGAGGTCTTACATTGCCTGGGTTCAGCAGGCTTTCTATTTGTGAATTTCTATGTTCTAACGTTCAAACGCACTTTGTTCCTTTCCTTCCAGGTCAGTCATCATGAACCGGGCACTCAGCATGTTGCCCCAGCACTGGAGAAGCCACACTGTGGAGGCAATCTATCACACTGACAGAGACTGGGACTTGATTTGGTACCAACTGCTGTGCAATTCTGCAGAGCAGGAATATCATGAGCTTATTAAATAATGACCAACGCATTGGATGAAGCAAAGTTTCCAGTGAGGAAGTGACAGTGCAATGTGGTAATTATGGCAATAAAGTAGGAAGAGCTTTAGTTTCCAGCCTGAACCTGCCTCAGCTGGAGTCATTTCAACAAGGCGTCCTCAAAACAAAGAAGAGACATGACTTGGTACCATTTCTCATCAGCAGATGTCTGGACAAAACATTAGTGTAAATAAGGACCAAGTGCAGTCCTGTGTATCTTGATTAAATTACTTAATATTAAGTGAAAGGTCTGGGTGATATTGTTTTAAACCTGACTCATCCAGCTCTTCTGATTTTTTAAAAAGTACTTTCTCTCTGTATGGTGGGAGAACTCTAATGAGCTGAAACAAATTTTTACTTTTAAATGGTTCTGGTTCTGGTGTTTTTGTAATTACACCATTAAATGACTGAAGTCATGCTAATGACAGGATTTGTTTTGTTTTGCTAGGAAGCTTCAGATTTTATGATGTGGTTCTGAGAAGAGCTAGTCTACATACAAAGAAATATGAAGACTGTAAAGGAAGCTGTATGATGGGTTCAAGATTCTTAGCATTATCCAGCATTCAAAACCTGTTAAAGACTGTTGCGAGCCAGGAAAAGTCACAGGCAGAGATCAAGTTTAAAGTGGTTCTTTAAACCCAAAATTTAATTTTTTTAAAAAAAATCTGTTGCTATGATTTTTAGACCCTGTTTAAAGCTGAAGTTTTTCCAGTATCTAAATCAGGGGTCTGCAAAAACAATTTCTGTAAAGAGCCAGACAGTAAATAGTTCAGGCTTTTTAAGCAAATAGTTGCTCATTTCTGTCACAACTCCTCAGTTCTGCATTAAATTAGTCACAGACAATATGCAAATGATGAGCATAGTATATGCCAATAAAACTTTATTTACAAATCAGGCAGTGGGCCAGATTTAATCCAAAAGCTGGCTGTAATTTGTCAACTCCTGGCCTTAAGCCAGAGAAGAATAGCTTCCACCCAAAAAAATAACCTCTAAGTGAGGGAAAGAGGCAAAGAATAAGATCATATTATACTCTTCTACTAACAGACAATATTTTTAACATACAAAACAAGATTAGTTCAGCCAATTAATCTTTTTATTTTGAATTTTATAAAAAAAATACAGAAAAAGCTTTGAGAAAAATGTGTTAGATATCAGCAAAGGCAGGAAAACGTGGCTAGCTTTACAATATCAATCTAAACATACACACAAAGGCAAACATTAAGTAGGATGCTAGGGAAAGAGAGCACTTTGGGGTCTTAACTTGTTTTCCTTATTGCACATAAAGGTTGCTGATAATTCCAAGTCTTCACTTTTTCACAGTTAAACATATTTTAACATTTTATATAACATACTATAATGTTAATTTTAGAAAACCACCAGTTTGCCACTGTTGAATATAGAAGACAAAATTCTCCTCAATTACAGTGTGTAAGCACTCTATAAAAAGAGGTCACATCATCCATGTTAAATTCATCTTAATTCTATTAAAAAATTTGCTTTTCAGCTATTAAATGAATATTGGTGGCCTTCCCATTTAATAATTTTAATGAACATAAAACTTGTAAGAAGTGCCAGATGTATTTTATGGAAAAAATAAAAAGACAACCTAGGAGGAAGTGACCCTATTATGAAGTCACACGTTGAATGAGTGGTTTCAGTAATAAATTCCAAATCTATAGACTTAACACCCACACACCCGAAAACCATTCCTTTGTTTCTCCAAAGCCCACAACTGGAATAATCACAACAAAAGTCAGCCTCCAAATGTCCATGTAGTTAGTCACCCAGTAACATTGGGATGTTAACTTTTTTTAAGTGCTTCAGACAGAGATGCAATGTTCTTCATGCTATTTACATGTCCTTTTCTATCTGAGCTCCTCCAACATATACAGGCCCAGATCATTTTCAACTGGCCAAGAATTGAGCTGATCATGATATTTGGCAATTCTCTTAACCCTTTTTAAAAGGTGGCCATCAGAATGAGACGGTCACGTCTCCCAAGCTCTCATGTCTGTTTCAGACCTTTTCAAAAGGCAGCAGAAAAGCAGACTTTCCTTCTCTCATTTTCTCCAAGGCTCAAGTAGCAGAAAACAGGCTGCATGTAGGCCATAGTTACAGTGTACCCTGTTTTACAAAAATAAAACCTACATCAAAAACTTTGGTTTTGCTCTTTACAATTTCTGCTAGCATTGGGTAACAATACAAGATGTGTTTGTTAATTTTTAAAATATTCTACTTCTGAAAATTGAAACTGGAAAATATGGTTTATTTCTAAATCCTGTTTTGAAAAGATTGTCAAAAATCCTACTTGACTTTCCTGGTTAGACACTCACATTGGCTTCTAGAGTGTTTCTCTATATTTTTTTATTTTGTTTTAGAAAGGGGGAAGGTCTTTTTGGGTACCAAGGTATTGGGTAAAAGTAGCATTCAGATGGGTTGTTTCGAAATTCTAACTCTTGGCCACTGGATTCCTTCAACTTTTACTGTCTCAGAACGTAGCAAATGACACAGGCAAATCAGATTCCCTCTTTAAAAACAACAGAAGAGATCAGAACTCAATTATACCAGTCTAAAATTTCTGACAGACTAGCTCTTACACTAACTCACCTACAGAATCAACACCAAAGGCAGGCACTAAACTTGTTCCCCATTTCTAAAGTGGAATAAGAAGTCCATTCACTGAATGAGCAAGCTAACTTTAACACTCATTCCAGATTATGTTTGACAACAGATGGTAAAATCAGCTTTCCGATTCACCTCTTAGAACTCACAATGGGTACTAAGGTAGATTTCCAATCAGATGATTTCCCCACTGATGAGTTGCTCAGCTGCCCTGCCACCAATCTCTTAAGTGTATCAGTGGTGTTTCTACATTTAGAAATGATGGTTCACATTAAATATCTGACGAATACAGTAACGACTATGGGCAGAGAAGGCGAGAGATGATGGAGGTAGGGGAAGGGCATGAAACAGACCTCTATTTTGGAAGGAACTGTTACTTCTTTGTCCTGGACTGAAAAGTTCCTAGATAGCTAAGAAAGCATTTTTGGTGTTTTCTAAAATTTCATTTGTCAACCAAACCACAGGGGACAATCTCTGGTGTAAGGGATAATAGCCTAAAGAGCTCCTTGCTGTTTATTTGGTGAAACACTTGATGTCACAGTGTGGTTTCTGGCTGCAAGGCATTAATGCTTATTTGGTCAACTCAGTATTCTAAATGGTCAGTGTCCATTTAATTACATGTGCCTTCCCTATACTTGCTTCTTGGCAGAAATGCAGCTTTATTTAAATTCTAAAGTTTCTTCTATAGAAATGAAATTTCAGTCTCCTGTTAGTTCCCAAAATGAATATTAAAAGGAATGGCAGAAGTTTGTATCTTCCCCTCTGTTGGTACTACACAGAAGTTTGCATGTCCCTAATTACCAGCTACCAACACCACCACCACCATGACAGCAAAGTGATCACAACCTTCCATTTAATGTGGGGCCTCTGCTCTGGCAGTATACAGACCCAGCCTTATTCTAAAGAATCCAGCATGGATTCAGGCTTGGGGACAAGCAAAGTGTGAAGAGAAAATTCACTTGACTGCAAAGGGGACTATTAATTTAATCCCAGGTTAAATTGAAAAGACACCTTCTTGAGAAACCTTCACATTTGGTTAATAAGCAGCTCAGTTAAGACAAAACCTCCCTTTTCCCGCAAAGGTGACAGGTTTTTAATCCTCTCTCCATACATAGACTCAAGTCATTCTTCTCTCCATTTCACACTCTTAAGGTTTTCAAATGGGACCTTTATTTCAGTTGTACTTTGTGGAGTAGTACATACTTGCATTCTGCAAACAGCATGAAATTCCCTCATAGCTATCCAATCAACACTCTGTTCCACATGACTAATAATTTTTAAAAAACTAAATTTGCTAGGCCATTCTTTAAGGTTTCAAGTAGGGTCCACTGCAAGTTCTAGACCAAAGGCTCTCAACCCTAGCTGCAGATTAGAATCCCTGAGGATACAAAACACAGCATGAAAGCCACGCCCCACTCTAAACCCACTGAATCTGGATCTTTGAGGGTAGGCCCTTATGTTGAAATTTTTTAATGAGCCAGGGATTTATAATGTGCATCCAAGGTTGAGAACCTCTGCTCTAAAACACCCAACTCTGCTGAACTGTAACCACTCCACCCCCCAACCTGAAACAAATATGTTCATAAAATGACTTGGGATTACCCTCTGAGAGGAACTTTGTTTAGTTGGGTTAAGTGTTACTCAGCAGTTTCAATCTGGTTTATGCCAGATTGACAGCAGATAGTCTTCAGTTACATAGTTTCTGGCCCTCATGGGACCCTATTTTTAACCACTCACCATAGGAATAATACTTCTAGAAGTGGAAGCATAGGATTATGTGTGTTTGGCTTTTTTTCCAAATTTAGAAAGCCCATGGATGACCATCAAATCAAAATGGACTTTAGATGAAAGACGAGGAGAAAAATTACTCAGTTCTATTATACTGAACCACATTAAGTTATGTCTCTTAAAAATGAATACCAGCAATTTCGTATGACTAATAAATTTTTCTTGGTTTACATAAATTATAGACTGAAAATCAAAGTGTGAAAGAGACAATGCTTTACTTAAAATGAACCATTAAAAATATGAGTTAAAAGGTTAAATGGCTGATTCATGATGGGAGCACTGGACTGGGTCACTACTTTGCCAAAATAAGAAAAATACCAACATTTAATTAAAGCACTTTTTAGAAATTGGGCTTTCAAATATAATAGCACTGAGGCATAGAGACACGGGGAGAATTTCAAACTTGGTGTCCAAGAGTTCCCTCAGTATTTCAGTTACTACAGGTATGGGCAGGTAGAATATCTCACTCACAAAAGAACCCATACTAAAAACCTAAATTGGAGACCACACTCCCACACTAAGCTGATGCAACCCTCCCCAAATACCAAGAAAATGACCTTTCTCTACATGGCACTCAGTGTCAAGACATCTAGATTCTTAATCTTAGAGTAGGCAGAACCTTCTACTGCACTGAATAAAGCTTAACTTTCCACTGGTTCACCTCTGATTCTTCAGGTGGCCACTGAAATCTCATGCATTTCTTAGCTTGAAGTTTGGAATTCTACTCAGTCTTTAGAATACTACCTTGTTTTTTCTTTGTAGCTATTTTTTTCACAGTGAGATTTCTTCCCTCTGAATACTAACCTATTGCCCTTAGGCTTCTTACTGCCTTTGCTTCCCCAGACCAAAGCAGTCCACAAATTTTGCTGTCATTTCTAAACCCACAGTAGATATCTCAGTGCTGTTCATCATTTTCCAGGCAGTCAGCTCATATGGCAGCTCTCAAGAATTGATTGATTTTTGTAGTGATATCATCATCATTTTCTAAACAGTTTCTCTTGCCTTCAGGTTAATTAAAAGACAACAGTATAACACTATTTTGCCTTTGGTTTTTAACATTTCAGTAACTTCTTTATGGAGCTTTCCAAAGAAGGAATTAAAATTCTTTTCCCCATGTTGAAATGTTGGTGGATATATTTTCCAATCTTCAGTCTAGAGGAAACAGGCAGCAAAAGAAGTCAGGAATCCTGAGATGAGGTTGGTATCACACAGCCCTCGTTGCCAGAGCCTCCACTCAAATTGCCTTCTCATGTTTTCTCTCCCATTTAACACCAGCTTCCCCTAAATCCTTGGACTTCTGATCTCACTTGCCTTCCTCCACAATCATTCTTCTGGTCTGTTCGCCCTTCCTGATATTCCTACATCCAACTGGACTCTCACTTTCGGGTGTGGATATGAAGCCTCTCCTGGGAGGGATACCCAGCACCTACCACACCTTGTTCAGGTACTGCAGGTGAATGAATTAAGAGACCAGTAAAGCATGCGATTGTTTTTTGTTCATTTAACTCTGAATAGCACACTACTATGTGAAGAAGTGGGAATAGGCCTGCATTTGTGTTGATTTAAGAGACACTTGAGCCCCACCATCTGTATCTTGGGTTAAATTTTAAATGTTAAGATATAGTCAGACCTCAATAAAATAGAAGCGTTAGTTCCAGTCAGTCACTGTCCCACCTGAAACAACACTGGAGCATGCAGCCAGCCCCACACCACTGGAGAGTCTACCCTATCGCTTCAGGGCTTGGAGGGAAAAGTCATGCATTATCCTCCAGGGGAAACACTAGGCGGGTGCCCCGGCTTGAGACCTTTTGTTCTCCCATTCCAAGGTCTCGTTCAAGCACCTCCTCGGAGCTGCCCTTTGTTCTCTGACTGCCATCAAGGCTCATGGAGGCCATGTGGGAGCCTGAGGAGCCATTGGCAGTCACTGTGCTGTCCCCGTAGGTCAAGGTGAGGTCACCCTCAGTCAGGATGAAATCAGAGTCTTCTTCTCTCAGTGGCTCTTGGTTCTGAAAAGTGCAACAAACAACAGTAACAACAAACAAGATTGGAATCTTCCAGAGTTCCAGCCAACCCCAACCTCAACTCCACATCAGAAACGGAGGATCATGAAACTTGCCTGCCTTGAGCCTCTGGCATGATAACTGGATGTAAACCATAGAGTGCGCTATTCAATGTATAGCACTGTTGCCTGAACTAGGACTTGGAAAATCAGAAAGCAGCTGTGATTTTAAATGCCCGACAGTTCATGACAAAAATGGAAGAAGGGGAAACCAGCCTGGATTTTCAGCTTCTCAACCCACAAAGAAAGGAAAGACTAACTTCATTGGGCAAACCTGCAAACAGGTTTCAGTTCCTCTCTTCTCTGAGAAGGTCTTCTGCGGGGGCGGGGGGGGGGTGCAGGCTCCTGCTCTACACAAACCATCCTAAACCCACCTGGTTTACATCTGAACTACTTCTTGCCCTAGTCAGCAATGGAGGGAAGAGGACAAACCATTATTAGGATTTCTTTTCTGTCCCCATAGAAAAACCCTGATGGGAAGTCCTCAAGTAGATAAAGCAAGTGATACAGAGGGAGGGTACATTTTCTTGAGCATATGTTATATGCCTGCCAGGAATCTCACATAAGCTCTCATTTGGTCCTTACCCCTCTCCTGTGAAGGGCGCAAACACATGTGTCACAAAGCAGAAAATCTGAGCTAAGAGAACCTATGAAATTTGCCCAAAGTCATCTAGCTGGTAAGAAGCAAGGTTTGGATTTATGCTGCCTCCAGACTGGTTGTACCCACATAAAGTATATGAAAAGTCACTCCACCAGGAAGAAGACTGGCATGGCATCTTATACTAAGCAGCAGTTGTAGCAAAACAGATCAGGCTGAGCAAGGCAGGCGTCAGCCAAGTGGCAGCCATTTGAAACTAAAAGATTGTTGGGGGCCACTTTGTGTGGTATCGGGAATTGTAGCCCTGTGCTAGCCAGGCCTTGAAAAGGGGCCTGTAAGTCTTGACCAGGAAACTGGGAATGCTGGGAGGCAGACATGATCTGATGCTAACACCGAGGGTTCCCATGGGAAATCTGGCCTAAAGAATGCATTGTATCTACTGAAGCTTGATGTGCTTTGCACTGCACTGATAAGGAAAAACCAGATGTTTAAGCTCCAAACAGAAGGAATGAATTCCTGAATTCAAGAGCCATACCTTAACACCATCAGACATCAACTTGACTAACAGACCCTGACCTGAGGCAAATCTCTGTGTTTCTTCAATTGCTATCTATTATCTCTATATGTTTTCTGTAAATACAGCTTTTAGGCATTGACTGATAAGCTTTGCATGCATGCTGTATATCCGCATATCACATATCGTTCTCAATAAAAGCCATTTCAGAGAAGGGCTCATTGTATTCTCCTCTAGAGAGAATTGCCTCCGCGGGGTCAGGGTCCACTACAAAAGATGGCAGGGAAAGAGAGTGTCAGGAAGCAGTGTGAGGTCAGAAACAACCTTTCACTTTCCAATGTGTTCAACGAGCCAAAAAACAAGGGGTGGTGTGCTCCCCAACTCTCCTACTGCATGGCTACCAAAAACTGTGGACTTCTTTCTAAAATGGCAAACAGTTTTAAAACTGCTCTTTCTCCTCTATTTCCTATCTATCCTTCAAAGCATATTTGAAGTCCTGCATCCTGTCTTCTACACAACAAGGTTTCCTTGGTGCAGGACCTGAACCTGCCTCCCTGACAGACTCAAGGCCTCCGCTCAGTCATGCTTCCCAAGGTCACAGGCAGATTCTCTGTGTCCATGCCTGGAATCCCCATCTAGATGAGGAATCACCAAAGGATACCGATCTCCTTCTCCTTATCTTGGCACATATTTCATTCTTTCAAACTTTGGAGCCTCACAGGGAAAGAGAAGAATCTGAGAAAACTGCATCTGAGGGTAATTCTGCAAGTATAGCCAAGCGTTCCCACCCCATCTCACACACGGCAGCACAGAGGAAACAGATGGAGCCCTGTGTGGCCCCCTCTGACCCCTTGCAGTGGGAAGCAGGGCAAAAATTCATCAACAGGAGAAAAGATAACATCAATTCATTCCATTACAAAATTCACAGGCCCATACAAATGGTACCCAAGGAAAGGTCATTCAGAAACAAAGACATAGTAAAATCCAGTGGAGAGGGATTTTCAAGAGCTGAATGAATTTTATATGCAGATGATGAAATCAGTCCACTCCCTCAAATTCTAGATAACAGGATCAACAAAAGTTTGGTTAAGCTGAAGGTTTGTAAAATTGTATAATTAGCTGTCCACTGCAGGCTGCTATGAAAATGCAGCCTGCAAACAAGTATATTGCGGGAACATACATTTTAAATAACCAGAGATTATTTTAGTAAGTGGATTACATTTTCTATGCAGATAACAAACCTAAGCAGTTTGGAGTTAGTGGAAATGGTGAATAATAAACATCTCAGATAGCTCCCAAATAAACTTGATGTACAAACACCATATAGATGATAAGTGAGGACCACACAACAGTAGGTCAAACAGCCATTACAGTGGCCCAGTCCAAAACAATCACCCAGCATTAAACTCTGCGGGGAGGCCCTCCACTATCTCCCCTTTGGGTTTCTTTTAAGTTTTTAAAGATCCTTTGTTCCCACTCTCTTTTTGGAGCTAACTGAGACTCTGGTTAGGACTCTAGGCACAAAGCAGCAGCAATAGTGTGAAGGGTAATTCTGGCTTGTAGCACAAGTCACTCCATTTTGGGCTGCTTGTGGGGAGTCACAGCCCAAACATTACCCCAGGAAGCAAACCTCAAGCAGATTCTCAAACTGGTGAGGGAAGTACTTTCAGTTTAAGTTTCTGAAAGATTACTGAGCTTATGATGAATTTAAACTAGAACAGATGTCCCTAATCAATGAGCAAAGGAATAGTTGGTAAGCTTCAGATTAAACAAGGTTTTTAGAAAGCTTTAATAGTGGGTTAGTTCTCATACTATTACATAGACATGAAAAGTGATCATTATAAAACCTAATTAAGATGGAAGGCTTTGGAAACTGTTTAAAAGAGACTAGAGCCAGGAGGCAAAGAAACATGCAAACCCAATGAAACAAGGTTGAAGGGTGCAATCAGTTGGAGCTTCAATAGTGCGACAAGTGGTGATTCCAGTTAATGCCCTTTGTTTCTGAAGATTTAAAAAAAAATCCAGATGACCCACAATGTCACTTTAGACACAGGTCCAAACTGAGCAAATTATTAGCACTCAGAAAAAAAACAGCTTTATTAAATAAGCTATCAGCAGGATTGGAAATAATTATACTAACTTTTAAATCTACTGATCTAATTGTTCTGATTCCAAATCCAGTGTTCTTTCTACCATATATTAGCTGCCGATGTTTAGGAGTCCCATAACCCTGGTAAAAGTTTTCTCTGTTGGTGTGAAAAATGTATTAAGCATATGTAAGCTGGGAATTTGTAATCATCTTATTGGATAAGCAAAGTCTGTGAAATTTGGAGACTGAACAGGAATGCAGCCCTGAATGTACTTACATCATACACTTGGGGACTGGTCAGACATCGAGCCAGCAAACCACACCATGCTGGGAGAGTAGTGGTTAATGGGGGGCCACTGTGTGTGAGGATGGGCTTCAAGTAACTTTAAAAAGAGAATTAAGGAAAAATGTCTGCAAAGAAAACAACACACCCAGCAAAATGTGTTTAGAAATCCCAACAACTAAATCACCTGACATTCTACCCACAGAAAGCCTCTTTCCCCCATTTTACCAGTACAATACAAAAAATATAGGCATACCTCAATCTATTACGCTTCTCTTTATTGCACTTCACAGACGTTGCACTTTTTACAAACTGAAGGCAAGTCCTTCCGCTGGCAAAAATATTATGACTTGCTTTATTGTAGTGGTCTGGAACTACAATATTTCTGAGGTATGAAAGTACTTGTAGTCTACAACAGTCTGAATCAAAGATTATTTTATTTATTTATTTATTTTAGAGAGAGGAAAATAGAGGGACAAAGAGAGGAACAGTAACATCAATGTGAGAGAGAAACATTGAACGGTTGTCTCTCATACATGCGCTGATCGGAAACAAACCCACAACCCAGGCATGTGCTCTGACCAGGAATTGGACCCAGGACCTTTCACTTTGCCAGTCAATGCCCAACCAACTGAGCCACATCAGTCAGGACCTGAATCACAGATTAAATTATACTCCATCAGCCTTTAGAGTTAACTGTTAATTCTCAGGTTGGTGATACCCAATTTTCAGTTAAAAAGAATATTTGATTAATTAAAATACCGCTCTCCCTTCTTTTATGTTCAATGAGAATTTTGGTTTCAATCAGCATTCCAGCTTTTGACACACAACCAGCTCCCATCTTTAAAACAGGAGATAGGTCACCTGGAATGAAGGAAGATGTTACAGCCCCTGTGTCCTCTCTGCCTGGGTTCTCTGTAAGGACTTTTGTTAAACCACTCTGCTCTGAAGTCACATGATGGAAACGGTCAAGGTGGATAGGACCTTAGATGTAACCTGGAGCTATACTACAAAGAAGGAAACTGAGACTTGGCAAAGTGAAATGATTTCACTAAGGGTGCGCAGACCTTAACTCCCAACTTCCGATACAGGACTATTCTTCACCATTGACATTTTGGGCCAGATCATTCTTTGTTATAAAGCGCTGTCCTGCATTGCAGGATGTCTAGCAGCATCCCTGGCCTCTACCCACAAGATACCAGTAGCACCCTCTCCAAGGTGTGACAATAAAAATGTCCCCAGACATTTCCAAATACCCCCTGAGAAGCAAACTCGCCCTTGGTTGAGATGCCTACTCTAACATGAAGGTCAGCTGTTATGCAGAGAGCTCAGGGTTTGTAAGTGTGTAGATATTCGTACTGCCAAATTCATGGCACTGGGTTGGAAGCACCGTGAAGCTGTGTCATATTTTGATAGAGCCAGGACCATTTCTGATACCGACAGCCTAAGCAATATATAGAAAAGGTGGAGACTCACATGGCCACCTCAAATGCAAGAATAGCCAAAAGACTTTAAAGGAAGGTGAGACTGTCTCACAACCATCCGTACCCAAGAGAATTACTACTTCAAGCACCATCGCTTCTTTCCTTCGTTTAGAACAGTACAAGAAAGAAAAGGCTTCTTGGGAGAGGAAAGATGGCGGAGGAGTGAATGGGAGTCACTCTGACCTCCTCCTCCCAAGACTAAACTGGAATTGCGACTAAATAGTGGAGTAATCACCTGGAAAACAATGGAACATAGTGGGAGAGGAGCCTTGGAGCCGCGGACAGACAGTGGATTCAACTCTCACACATCCCAACGGGTGAGAAGTGTGGTGGAGGCTCGAGAGGGTGGGCTGGGTGCCCACGGGCACTAGCACCAAAGGGACATTGAAACAGCCAGTTAGCTCCCGCCCCGGGGAAGAACGGGGTCTGAATCATAAACAGGGACCTCTAAACTACAGCAGCTAAAACCAGGAAAATACAGACAAAACGCAACCCCGAAAAGGTTAGGGGTGCTCTCTGCCAGAGACAGGTGGCTGGGGATGCAAAGAGACATTTAAAGGGCCAACGCAAAAATTGCAGTAGCAGCCACCCTCCTTGATCTCTGGGTAGAGGCGGCAGCGGGGTGGGCTGGTGCCTGGGAAAAGATTGGTGAGGAAAACTTTGTGAAGAGAACTGAGACGGCAGCCTGTGGAGCCCTGGTGATAACTCACCTCCCACTCTGCAGCTACCATCTCGCTCAGGCATAAGGGAATCAATTAACCTGCCTTTTGTGCCCTCCGCACACAGCTTGTGCACCTGTGAACTGGGGGGCTAAGTGCAGACTGGCTGGGAGAGCCTTGAGGAGAAACTGGAGACGGAGGAGTTGGGGAAAGAACGGGAGCAGGAACCGAGGAGTCCCGACTTCCTCCCCATTCTGTAGTCTCCATTTTGGGCAGGCAAAGCACACCCCCAAAGAGAAAGAAGCGGGGCACGCACAACCAGACTGCCCGCGATTGAAACACAGTCCGCACAGGTTGTGGATCCTTGGCCGAAGGGGTCACAGAACTGCCCAGAGACCCCTGAGGAGAGACTGGAAAAGGAGGCGTTGGGGAAAGAACGGGAGGAGGAACCGGGGAGTCCCGACTCCTTCTCCTTTCCCTAGTCTCCATTGTGCGGGAAAAGGACACACCCCCAAAGAGCCAAAAGCCGAAAAGCACACAATAGACACCCCAAAACCACCCAGTGCAGGCACGCACAATCGTGCAGAGTGGCCGGCGAGGCTTGGCAAGTGTGTGTATGTACCCGCGCGGGCTGGCGAGGGCTCACGCAGGCTGGCAAGGCCTCCCACAGGTTAGCACCAATGGGGCCTGCGAGGGAGTGCACAGATCGGCGAGGGCAGGTGTAAATCGACCCGCGTGGACCTACGCGTGCAGAGCAGTCCTCAGAAATAGTGGATCCCGGGAGGAAGGGGTCACAGATCTGCCCAGAGTCCCTGGAGGAGAGACTGGAGATAGGATTAACCAGAGAGTACTGTAGCTGACTTCCTCCCATTTCCATAGTCTCCATTTGGCAAGGGCAGGCAACGTATCCAAAGAGCCAAAAGCGGAGAACGCACACAATAGAAGACCCTAAAGGGACCAGTGCCGGGGTGCCCACCGGCCAAGGGGGCCAGACGAGTACACGAGGTCGCGAAGAAGCCCCCTGGGCTGGGGCAAGCACATGCGAGCCCAGGCGGGCGTGGGATCCTACCACGCCGGGGAGCACGACCAAGGAGCCCGCGTGAGAGTGCAGAGCGATTCACAGAAATACTGAATTCCTGGATGAAGGGGTCACACAGCTGCCCAAAGCAGGAGTCAGACACAGACAGTAGACTCCTGGAAGGTTCAAACAAACGACCCAAGGTCATATAGGCTCAACAAATGACAACATCAGAGGCAGGCCCAGAAATAAAAGTAAAGGAAATAAATACATATATACATACATACATAAATACATACATAAAAAGACCTGCCCACTAACATAGAAGTTTAACCCACAAAGTGAGGAAATCTAGACAGCCCAATTGAAGCAGAAGCAAAAATAAATAAATAAATTACTTAACAGACTCTCACAAAAATGGGAAGAAAAAGAAGTTCCCCCCAAATGAGTGGAAAAGGGGACTCCACACAGACAGAGCTAAATGAAATAGAGGCAAGGGAACTATCAGATATTGAATGCAAAACAATGGTTCTAAGGAAGCTCAATGAGCTCAGCCACCTCAAAGAGAACTATGAGAAACTGCAGAGAATCTATCAGGATCTTACAACAAACTATATCAACCTGGAAAAGGGCCTAGAAACTATCAAGAAGACACAAGAGGATGTGAAGAATACCATTTCTGAATTGAAGAACACAGTAGAAGGAATCCAAAGCAGGCTGGATGAAGCCAAGTATCTAATCAGTTAGATGGAGGATAAGGTAGAAAAAAGCTCCCAGAAAGAACAAGAAATGGAAAAAAGACTCAAAAAGAAGGAAGAGGCATTTAGGGAAATGCAGGACAACCTGAAACATAATAATATCCATACAATAGGGATACCAGAAGGAGAAGAGGATGAGCAAGGGATAGAGAACCTCCTCAAAAAAGAAATGATGGAAAATTTCCCTAATTTGAGGAGAGAAAAGGTCTCATGGATCCAGGAGGCACAGAGGACCCCACTCAAGAGGGACTCAGGAGGTCCACTCCAAGACACATCATCATTAAAATGGCAACTATCAAAGACAAAGAGAGAATCCTCAAGGCAGCAAGGGAGAAGGAGAAACTAACATACAAGGGGGCCCCGATACAGCTAGGAGCTGACTTCTCAACAGAAACACTACAAGCCAGAAGGGAATGGCAAGATATATTCCAAGTTATGAAAAGCAAAGTCCTACAACGAAGGCTGCTCTACACAGCAAGGTTCTCATTAAAATAGAAGGGGAAATAAGGAGTTTCCCAGAGAAAAAAAAAGGCTAAAAGAATTCGTCTCCACCAAACCAGCACTACAAAATATGTTTAAGGGACTTATTAAGAAGGTGAAGGAAAAGAGTGAGAAAGAGAAAAACACAGGTACAAAGAGAAGAAATGAATAGCTTTCTATCAGTAATAACTCTAAATGTAAATGGACTAAATGCCCCAATCAAAAGACACAGGATAGCGGAACAGATAAGAAAACAAGACCCACACATACGCTGTCTACAAGAGACCCACCTCAGCACAAAAGACCTACACAGATTGAAAGAAAAGGGATGGAAAAAAACATTCCAGGCAAATGGGCAAGAAAAGAAAGGAGGGGTAGCAATACTTACATAAGACAAAATAGATTTCAAAACAAAGGCCATAAAAAGAGACCCAGAGGGACATTTTATACTACTTAAAGGAAGACTCTATCAAGAAGACATAAACATTGTAAACTTATATGCACCCAACACAGAAGCACCGAAATATATAAGGAAAATTTTGGACGACTTCATAAAAGATATAGACACTAACACACTGATAGTAGGGGATTTCAACACCCCACTGTCAAAAATGGACAGATCTTCCAAACAAAACATTAATAAACATATTGTGGAGCTGAATGACACACTGAATCAAAGATACTTAACTGACATATATAGA